CTTACTAATGACAGTATTTTGGGGGTGCAGAACTATGGAAGGTACCAGGGTGTAAAGTACAAGAATAAAGAAGTGGATTTCAGTGATTAGACTCAGAGAACAGCAGTTAGTAGGAAGAGGAGTGCGGAGGCCAAAAGAGAAAAACCACACTTGATTCACAGGTCGCTCTCCAGGGTAGAATTCTTGATGTCTAGAATTAGCCAAAACTCTACTGAACTAGCCATCTCTGGAGATCCTCAGGCTTTAGAGAGACTGGCTACCATCCTGAGCTTGTCCCAGGCTAAGCTGGGCTCTTCAGGGCTGTCCTGGAGCAGGGCTGCTCAAGCACCGCCTTCCTGGAAATCAGGGTAAGAGCTAGACCCTGGGTTGCATGGAAAGCATGGGCTGAAGGGCCACTTAACTCGCTACATTGGGTCTCCTGCTCCCTTTAATTACATGGGGGAAATGTTAATGTATTCGGCGTGCCAACACAATGGAATGAGTTTCAAAAAGCTCCAGGAACCTGTTTTGCAAAAGAACTTTACTATTAACCACTGACAGAGGGATACAAAATACACTGATACTTCTTTTAAATGTTCCACTTAACTATGGTGATATTCTAGAAAAAGCCTGGAGCCAGTTAGAAGGATATTTTCTTGCCTTGGGAGAAAAAAAGTCCTAGTTCTGGTTGAGAAACTGTGTCTACAACATTGTGTCTCTTTAATTACTACTAAATTTCAAGGAAGGCTAGTTGGGGAGGGGGAGCAAGGGAAGCAGGGATACCTCCTTTAGACAATGCTCTCTTATCAGGGCAGAATGCTGTCTGGCTTCCTGTCTCGAGCTCTGGCATTACTGCTTCAGATGAGAACTGGAGCCTAGGAAAGGGACAGATCAGGCTTGAAAATGAGAATGCTAAAAACCACCATAATCCTTTTCTTCCAGCTCACTCCAAGATAGACTTTGACTGGAGTATCACACGTTAGCAAACCAGATTATCAATTGCTTTATGACTCCAGGGATTTTTTTTAAAAAGATCAAACTGATGATAAATGAACACTTCAGAAAGAAACTTAATTTCTAGAATAATGTAATTCCTAGTATGTAAAGGATAAGTTTGCTTGTATTTATTATTTATTCTTAACCACAATAGGTTTTGAAAACACAGAAATACCATCTAAGAAAGCTTTTCATTATAGCAAAAATGTTGATTTGGAAATATTAAGAAGGCAGGTATCTTTAAATTAGTAATAATGATTTCCATGGTCAAGAAACAAAACTATTATTCCTATACATTTTTTTCTAATTATAGCAACTATCAGACTGGTATGATTTTTTTCCAATCGTTGGGCTTATCATTTTAAAGCCTGCAGATTTTTTTTCTATTATTGTATAATAGAATAAATTAGACCTAGACCCTTATCATCTCTATTAACCACCTCCTTTTCCCCTCAAATGGGGAGGAAAAAAATGCATTGGGGTAAGACAAAGACTGTCTATCAAATCAAGTTGGATTGTTAACAACTTTGGAACTAAAACAAAAAAAGTTGCTTCAATCTGGGTCACTTATGAATATTAGTTTAAAGGTCTCTTGTCCTACGAGTCAGCATAGCATTTCAAGTTTGCTTCACCCAAAAGAGAAAGGTAGTATCTTATTGAAAGTTTCCAAAATTCCCATTTTTCAAGGAAGGTTATCAATAGCCTGTTTGATTCTAGTAGCTTTCTTAATATCACATATTTCCCTTTATCCATAAAGATTGTGGTGGGACATTAAGTTAAAACCAAAACACTATTATCACCAATTCTGGAGAGGATAATGTCTAATTTGCTACCTCAGCAACTGTGAATTAATTACATTAGAGGACACTGTAGATAATTCTCATAGATTTTAAAAAATACCCAAAAATGTTTTTAAAAGAAACTTGCCTGAAGTTTTCTTTTTCAACCATTTTTTTTAAAACTTGTTTCTTGAACCACGAGAAAAATAACTTGTTAAAGCAGGTTTTAGTTAAAGGTATTTGTTAACCCACAAATATAGACCATATAGAAAATTAAAAATGGAATTATGAAAAAGTTACTGCAAAATAAAAAATCTTTCTCCTCCTGTTTTCAAAATACAAGATTAAAATTTTCCAAACTATCAGTAGATGTATTTCTTTATTTCAAGTTCTCCTTTTCCTTGAGCTCTTTATTCTTAAAACAGCTTGGAAAGCAGATGTAGAATACAGTAAAATCTTTGTCCCTAAAGAAAAAAAAGAATTATCCCAGTACTGAAATCTTTGTCCTTAAATAAGAAATAACCCTGGGATTTTCTCATTATATCTAGGTTTTATTTCAATACTTTTTCTAAGATTCCTTTCTTAAAACATAAAGTAAGACTTTCAAGTCAGCCCAGCTTCCAAGACGACTTAGGTTCTCCAGCCAGTGAAGTCTCCTATGCCTTGAGTGACCTGTGCTAAATGTGAACACAGATGGCCACATCTTTCAGACACTGCTAGGTCCTCTCACTTCTAAGGTGGTAATCTTGATCCAAAATTGACAGCTTCACGGCAAAATGCCTATCAAAAAAACAAACACCCTACCCATCTCAAAACAAGAATGAAAAATAAAAAAATCTAAAGGCAGCCAACATGCACACAAATTTCTTAAAAATCACAATTTGGCAATGATAAATTCTTAAAAAAGGACAGAAGCATTTATTCAACCATATAAACACACTGGATAAAGGGTGTATATAAAAAGGTTAACTGACTTCTCATTATGACATAACACAGGCTTCTTAAGCAATCTCAAGTGTGTAGAGACATGATAACTCCCTGGGTGGGGATCGGGAGTTTAGGGGCAGGGACCATGGCCTGGTCTGGGCTACTGATCTACCAGAAAACAGCCTGAAACAGGAAAGAGCACACATATGCCACTTGGAATGTATGACGCAAACCCCAGCCTTGAAACAAAGAACAGGAAACAGCTCTGCTGGCTGTGCTGGAGAGAAAGCACAGAGAAACATTTAGCCGGCCCTCCCTGACCCTATATTCATGAGCAGCTGGAGTTTTTTAAGACAACAACAGCGGGGTGGAGGTGTTTGTTCTATGGGTGTGAATAATAACACTAGCTTTATACAGGGGACCTGCCCTATTTACAAATAAGAGCTTCCACATACAGTAAACATCAGAACTGAACATGTGATTTTATTATATTCAAGAAGCAGAGACCTTCCTGATTAACGCCAGCCTCTCTCCTGATTTTATTTCTTTTGTCTCTTTCTCCCCCATCCCAAAGGATGGTCTCTAGCCATGATCAAATTCTTGATTACTATTCAGCCTTACAGCATCATGAGGAAAATGAAGCTAGAGCACTGCTATTAAGAATTCAGATGACAATTGTGTTATCCCACATAACTGAACTGGAACCGATTTTAAGTGTTCCTCAGCCACAGAACTAAATTCCAAGGCACCGAGGGTTGGACATCTAGAGTCACCCCAAATTTTCAGTCTCTGCATAGGTACACATTTGCACACAGCAGCACATCTGTTGTACATGTGCACACACTGTAGAAATTCAACTTTTGAGAATGTGATGTGGTTCCTGACATTTAATTCACAATTGTTACACAATCTGTAGAATAAAGTTAACGACTCTCTAAACTACCCTAAAGTGTCTATTTTCCTTTAGGTTATTTTTACGGGAGTAAAATCCATTCACACTCCTTTCCCTATTATTTTTCTTCATTTTGTTAGCCACGACTGTTCTCAGGTTTCCATTATCATAGATTTAAGAATCTGTGTGTAGACAGAACTACAGGTAAAGAAAAAAAAGGCATCTCTGTGCCCAGAGCAACCAAAAGATTGGGTTTTAATTTAGAAACTTTGCAGTGAAAAAAACAATAGTTTTCTCTAAAGCTATATTGCTGGTTTTTTTATCTGACTAGGTTTCTTTGTTATTCTCACATTATGATTTTTATTCTTGCATTCTCCTTCATGCAAGCCAAATGTTCTCCTTACAGGGTATCTTCCTTGAACTTACCAACAGTACAGTAAGCTTTTTTCTTCCACTAGTTATGCAGCAAACCACGCAGACTGTAGAAACTGATATATCAGTTTCTCTAGAGTTTAGAGGGTTCTGTTAATAGCCTAAGGTTAACACACAGTTTCAAGCCAGACAAAAACGCGTTTGGTTACTTTTTAAGAAACTACTAACTCACAAAATTTTTAAGATGTTAATGTCATCATTATTTTTTGTTTCCCTAAAAGCAAGTGTTCGCTCAGGTTAGGAAGATTATCATGCCGTGGATTTCTCTTATAAAAATGTTCTTCAAATTCATACATAAAGCACTCATTAAAGGACAGCACGAAACTGCTCTGTGGAAAAACCTTTAAGGAACAACTACCCTCCTCCTCCCCACTTGACTTTGCTTAATAATTACAGATACTAAATCTAAATGAAGTCAGAATATCACTTTATATTTTTCCTCACATACCAGACTCCTGTGAGAATATAATCAATATATTTAAAGTGCCTTGAGTGATACTAACGGAAAAATACATTCGAGTTAGTAAAAGATTCAGTACATAAAAGATTTATTTTAGTGAGATACAAGGTGAGCGATTTCCAATTTCCGTTTAACCTGACTTATTAAAAGTAAGTCCCATTCAAATGTTCATCTATTGTTACTGTATATTGCTGTAAAATTTAAAGCAGAAAAGATTCTCCCTTTTACGTGCCAAAGCAGCTACGACAATTCCAGGTATCTGGCGTCTCCAAGAAAGCCACTCAAATGTTAGGTAGTCCCAAAGGTCCGGGTCCAGGGATCAGTCTCTGGGTCCCCACCCGGCTCGGGTCCCTAACGCTGCAGGCAATTGCCTACGGCACTCTCCGCCTCCAGCCACGCTGCAATCCTTGCTCCAGGCACTGCGGCAGGTTCTCTCCTGGCCCCGAAGAGGACTCTCCAAACCCGGCCAGCTCTTTCCTCCTGCCCCTGAGCAGGATCCAGACGCCCTGGCAGCTCCCGGGCTCCAGGACCGAGAATGGGATGCTGCCTCCAGTCCCAATCGACCCAAGTTTCTTCCCAGAGGGTCCCGGAGTCCGCTCCAAGTTTGCTGCGGCTGGCGGACGGCCGCGCGCCCCGTCCGAAGAGGGGGGCGGAGAGGGGGAGGGCGCGGGAGCGGGGGTGGGGGACTCGGAGGGGGAGGAGCAGGAGCGCGCGGCCTCGGTGCTACCTTTCTGCAAACAACGTTGCCACACGCGGAGAGCACCGAGATTTCTGGGGCTTCGGAGGGAATCGCGAGCGAGGGGGCGGGCTGCGATCGGGGGACCACACAGGTGAGCCCCGCCCGCGCCCTCGCCCTCGTCCGCGTCGGGCGCTGCCGGCCTCCCGCCCGCACCGCGGGATCCGCACGGCGGCTCCCCCAATCCCACACTTCCAGCCGCTGAACTCGGGGCCCCTCCCCCTCCCCTTCCGCCCCCACCCGCGGCTGAGAGGAGCTGTTGCACTTTCTCAAGCCCACAGGCGCCCCCACCCCCGCGCTGCACCCCCAGCCTATTCACTGCGCGTCCCCCACGAGAATACTGAAGCCCGACGACCCAAAAACGGGAGCAGCAGGCGTTGGAGCGAAAAGGAAAGGTGTGGGAGACGGGACTTACTTTCCGAGGCGCCGTGTTGAGCGCTGCAGACGAGAAATAAAGGCCCGGAACCGGGCAACCTTGAACCCCGCGAACGCGGCAATGTCAGCGTTCCAGTCGGGGCGGCGGCGGTCGCAGGGCACCGGGACGGGGACGGGGACGGGGACGGGCGCGCGTGCGGCGGACGCTCGCGCTGCGCTCCGGCTCGGCCCGGCTCCGCGCGGCTCCGCGCCTGGCTCCCCTCTGGCTCCTGGCACCGACTCGGGCAGTCACATGACGCCGGCGCCGCTCGCTCTGCGAGCCTCCCGGGGATGGCGGGGTAAGTAGAGGCTGGGACCCGGGGTGGGAGGGGAGAGGGAGCCGCCGCGGCCGCCGGGCGGGGCGGGTCCCCACCCACTTGGGTGGAGGCGGCCGCCTGAGGGGTCGGCCGAGTCACTCGCGCAAACACGCACCCCGCCCTGCGCCCTTCCCCCCCCGCCCCCGCCTCCCGCGCCGCCTCCGCCCGCCCCGCCCAGTCACCCGGGGACGGCCTGACAGACACTCATTATTCCCCGGAGCCGGGCGCCGCCCCGCCGGCCGAACCTGTCCGGCGGGGCGCGGCGCGGCCGTGGGGCTGGGCGTGCGCGGCGCGGCCCCCGCCCCGGAGCCTCCGCCCCCCGCCCGGCCCCGCGCGCCCCGCCCGGGTCCCGCGCCCCGCCCGCCTGGCCCCGCCAGCACCGCCCGAGCCCGGGGGGAAGGAAGGGCGGCGCTGCCCGCTCCGGGCGTCACCGCGCTGCAGCCCGCCGCGCCGCTTCCAAAACACACAGCCGGGCTCGCGGGCGAGCCGAGGCTGGGGACCCGCGCCGGCCGGGGCCATCAATCAGCCGGCTCCGGCGGGAAGGGCGGCCCCGGGCGCGGCGGGAAGGGCTGGGCCCGCGGCCGTGCCCCCTCGGGGCCGAGTACACACAACTCCCTTAAAGAAAAAGCAGGGAAAGGCGTCCTGGGTGAGGGAGCGGGTGGGCCGGGCGGATTCGGGAGAGAGCAGCGGGCCAGGGGAGGGCAGTTGGGGTGACAAACCCTAACATGGTCCCGAGTCGCCAAGGTCTTTTGACATCCTGTTAGCGCGCTCGCTCTTTGTGCCTCGGGGCGCCGTGTCCCCATCGTCGCCCGGAGGGGCGGCCCGGGTGGCGTCCCCCTGCCTGCCAGGACTTTTGTTTGAAGGCTTGGAGACCCCCGAAGCAAACTTCCCACGGGCCAGGCCTGCCACTGGAGAGAAAACGAGACCGGTAGCAGCCGCGTCTGCTCAGCGGGCCCTGCCTGAAAACTTGGCAAACTTAGGTCCGGAACCTCCACCTCGGGGGAGAACTGCGGCCGAGCTGTGGGCTCGGCCCGCGACCTTTCATTTCTGCTCGCTTCCCTGGAACCAAGCGCGGGCGTGCTCAGTGGCCATCACCGAGCTCAGAGCGGGGTGGCGGAAACGAGCTTTCTTGTCCAAGCCAGGCCTCTTGGAGGATTTTGTATAGCTTGGTATCCGACTTTATAATGTTTTTGAGTTTCTTTTAAAACAATATTAATGTAATAAAGAATGCAATAAAAAGAACAAAGGACAAATTGGTTCAATTGTTTTAGTCCTGTGTAATGTTTAAAAATACCCCTGCTTCAGTCTGTGGTTTGTTACTGCCTTAAGATGTTTTAAAGGCCTTTTAAGTTCACCATTCTCACCTTGATGTTTCATCCAGGTATGGCACTACCTAAAAAGTAGAGATAAAGTATATTCTGAGCCCCATGAGGTAGCTACGGAGTTATAAAATTAGTGCTGGGTAACCTCAAGTAGTCAGATTGCATATTGTAAACAATGCACATATGAAAAAGACCACGAGGAGAACACCCATCATGGTACCCCGTAAGATTAATCTTTAAAATGTAAAGGCATGAGGATTTGTTCTGTTAATGAATAAAAGACAAATGCAAGACAAAGTGCTGGAGTCATGTCAATTACTAATTGCAATTCATTGATCACTGACTTCATTAAGTGTCTGATTGGATGACTTAAATTTTTATTAGGTGAAAAACCATATTAGTGATGACTGATGGAATTGTTTTGCATTTTGGTGCCTGACTCATGGTAGGGGCTCAAAAAATACAGGCATCACTCAAGAAACACAGAATGATGAAAACCCAAAGCACATAAAACATGTTTTTTATGTTGTTCACGGGGGTGTGGACCCAAAGGAGAAGAGTGAAGTACGTCTGAGAAGAGTGTGATGGGAGAGATGTACGGAGTGGCTTTAATTTGGAAGGTGGGGAGGGAGGAGAAAAGTCATAAAAAAAAGGTTAATTAGTGAACACGCAGTGTTCCACGAGAGGTAGCTCAAACATGATTTGTACAGAAAAGAAGCCATCCAGTGAATGATACCACCATCAGGTGCCTAAACCAGAAATGGCTGAAGTCATCCTTGATTCCTTCCCTTCGCTGACTGGTTACCTCCCTGTCATTCAGGAATCCTAGACCTTGTCAATCACTACTCACTCCTTGGTCACTACCCTGTTTACCATGGTGTCTTGTTGGTCATCCTGTTTGTAATGTGGCTGAAGTGTGCAAAGAAGATAGGTACAAAGGAATAAGAATATCTTTTCTAAAAAGCAAGCCTAAACACATCACTCCCTTCACTGACTTCCCTCCAGATAAAGTTCCAAGAGTTCACTACCCATGCTGACTTGGCCTCTACCTATCATTATAGATTCGCCTCTCCGTGTTCTCCCCTCCCACTCTATTCCCCAGCAACACTGAGCACCTTTCCTTCAATTCAACCCCTCTCTCTCTGGCCCTTTGCACATGCTCATTTTTTAAAGTAGACTAGCTTCCTTGCCTTCTCCAATTCCTGTCCTCCACCCTCATTTCCCTGAATTCTATTTATTCTTTAAATATTGATTTAAATGACATTTTCAACAAAATACATATTTTCTTAGCACCATCTGTCACCCTACCTTTGGACCAGTGAAGGTGCTCCTCCTTGGTGCTCAGTTAACACCCATGCCTCACTTAAACACTTTTTGTTCTTTTTTTGTAGTTGGTTATTTACTCCCTATGGCACTGAAGCAGAAACTCTGTGCAGGCACAGGCCTTGTCTTTTTAGCAAAATCATATCCTTAAAATGACCCAGATTTTCAATGAATGTTTGTAAAATGAATAAATGTAAGCTATGAATTGAGAAGTAATTCAGAGCTTAAGAGATGAGTAGAGGCTTCAGGATGGCAAATGACCATAAGTGTACCTTTGAATAGGAAAGAGGGAAGTGGGAGTTCCTTCACCAGATGACTTTTAAGCAGTAGGGTGAGATGGTGAAAGTGGTGCCTAGGGCATCTTTTTATTCCTAGCACTAGTCCAGTGCCTAGCCCATGCTTAGGTGTTCAGTAAATCCTGGATAAATGAAATATCTCAAGCTTGGTCCTTGTGGTAGCTGCTTCCCTCTTGTTCTTTGAGTAGAGCAGGCTAGTCTGGTTTAGGTTTGGGACAGTATATATATGCTCAGGGAACGATACCCCTTCCTGGCCCCCAGCATTGTTGTGCCCAGCCAATCATTCTAGTCACAGTCTCTTTTGCCTGTGACTTGTTGGGGAGTAGATATGGGTGACCTACTTCTGGCCAGTGAGGCAGGAAAGGAAGTATGCTGGGGCTTATGGAAAATCTCTTTTCTTCTGGTAAAAGGAAATCTTTGTAAGGACAGAGCCCCAGAACTGCTTTGGAAGTTATGTGGGGGTGTGATGCTGGAAGCTACAGCAGCCATCTTGTAATCCTGAGATGAAAGGAAGGTTCCAGATTTCCATACAGATAGTTGTGTTTTCATCATCGGTGTTCGCTCAGATATTACCTCTTCAGGGATGACTTCCTTGACACCATCCGAATTATCCCTCCTTCTGCATTCACTGTCTAGTCATCCTTGTTCATTCTTTTGTTGCCTTTTCTTGTCACTAGAACCTGGTCTCCAAGACAGTAGGGACTTGGTCGTCTTCACTCTAATTTCCCAAACTCTTAGAACAGTGTCTGGTCAATATGAAGTGTTCCAAAAATATTTGTTGATTAACAGGTGACAACTAAACAATAACACTAGGTTGAGACTGATTCAGGGCCTAGTGGACACAATTCACTACAAATCTCCATTTTCTTTTTCATGGTTTATATCACAGTTCCTTTTCAGGCAATCTTTCTCATACATATTCTTGAGACTCTTTCCTCCTCCTCCACACTCTTTCAGAGCTTTTCATTCCTTCCCCAGAAAAGGTTCTCCTCCTCATTTGTTAATGGACAGTTAGGAAGGCAGAAAACTGTTATGTACTTATGATGTTATGAGCAATACAGATACATCTACTTTAAAGGAAAATAAGGCCATATATTTTTTAATCCCAGTTTTATTGATATGTTATTGACCTATAACATGTAAGTTAATTACAGCATGATGGTTAGATACACAGATATACTCTAAAATGGTTGCCACAATAAGGTTAGTTAACACCTCCATTTTACTAAATTACCTTGGTGTGTGTGTGTGTGTGTGTTTATGGAGTGATAACATTTAAGATCTCTCTTAACAACTTTCAAATATATAATACAGTATTGTTAATTATATCCACCATTCTGTACATTAGATCCCCAGACCTTGTTCATTTTATAGTTAGAAGTTTGAACCCTTTGACTGACATCTCCCCATTTTCCTCACTCCCCAGCAACTACCATTCTACTGTTTCTATGAGTTCAGCTTTTTACATTCCACATGTGCGTGAAATCATATGGTATTTATCTTTTTCTTTCTGACTTGTTTCACTTAGCAAAATCCCCTCAAGTCCATTCATGTTGCAGCAAATGGCAATAGTTCCTTCTTTTTTAATGGCTGAATAATATTCCACTGTGTATACATACATACATATATATATATATATATATAGATATATATACACACACTACATTTTCTTTACACACTCATCCATTGATACTTAGGTTGTTTCCTATTGTAAATAATGCTGCAATGAATTTGTGAGTACGGATCTCTCTTTGAGATAGTGATTTTATTTCCTTTGGCTATATACCTAGAAGTGGGATTGCTAGATCATACGGTAGTTCTATATTTAAGTTTTTGAGGAATCTCCATGCTGTTTTCCATACTGGCTGTACCATTTTACATTTCTACACTAGTACACAAGGGTTCCCCTTTCTCCACATTCTAGCCAACACTTGTTATTTTTTGTCTTTTTGGTAATAGCCATTCTAACAAACGTGAGGTGGGTTTGATTTGCATTAACACACTGTGGTTTTGATTTGCATTTCCCTGATGGCTACTGATGTTGGCCATCTCTTCATGTACCTGTTGGCCATTTGGATGTTTTCTTTGGAAAAATTTTAATTCAATTACTTTGCCCATTTTTTAATTAGATTGTTAATTTGTTTTTTGCTATTGAGTTATACGAGTTCCTTATATTTTTTAATGTTAATCCCTTGTCAGATACATGATTAGCAAATATTTTTTCCCATTCCATAGACTGATTTTTCATTTTGCTTATTGTTTCTTTTGCTATACCAAACCTTTATCATTTGATATAGTACCACTTGTTGATTTTGCTTTTATTTTGTGCTTTTGGTGTCATATCCAAAAAACCACTGTGAGGACCAATGTCAAGGAGATTTTTCCCTGTGTTTTCTTCTACTAGTTTTATTGTTCCAAGCCTTGCATTTAAGGCTTTAATCCATTTCAAGTTAATTTTTGTGAGTGGTTTAAGATCGGGGTCCAATTTCATTCTTCTGCATCTGAATACCAGTTTTTCCAGCACCATTTGCTGACCAGACCATCCTTTCCCTATTGTGTAGTCTTGGCACCCTTGCTGAAGCTCAGTTGACCATATAAGTATGGATTTATTTCTGGGCTTTCTCTTCTGTTCCATTGGTCTATGTGTCTGTTTTAAGGCTAGTACTGTACTGTTTTGATTGCTATAACTTTGTAATATAGTTTGAAATTAGAAATTGATGCTTCCAACTTTGTTCTTCCTTAGAATTGCAAAGTCATATGTTTTGGAGTAAAATTAGAAATGCTAGACTAATGGTCATCCATCCTGAACACATTACAAAGGGTCCAGAGATTATCTTTAGCACCTCTAGAAGTTTCCATCTATATTATTTATCCATCCATCCATCCATCCATCCATCCATCCATCCATCCATCCATCTGTCCACCCATCCATCTAGCCGTCCATCCAATTTAGGATGGCTAGGAAATACTGAGGTTGAGTTAGGTGACCAGGAGTTATAAGAAAGCTCAGACTGGCTGTATGATTCATACCCCTCCTCTCTCTTCCCTGACAGGGAGCTCTCAGCATTTCTAGTGCAGGTAGACAGATGGCACTGCCTTGAATTATGGTTGACAGGACAATGCATTTGAAGGACAGTGGAACAAAAATAGTTGAAATATTGGATCTTGGAATCTAAATTGCAGATCTAGAAGGAGACTCAAGAGAGGTAGCCAAAAGATCAGTGAACTGAATATTTCAAAAAGGTTGAAGAGTAGGAGTTTTGGGAATAGCATAGCAAATGACCGGGAAGACTAGGAGGTGAGCAGAGAGTGGGGACA